AAATGCTTCTTACGAAGCCACTCCTTCGTTGCCCGGGCGGTGTGTTTGGGATCATTGTCATGCTGAAAGACCCAGCCACGTTTCATCTTCAATGCCCTTGGAAGGAGGTTTTCACTCAAAATCTCACGATACATGGCCCCATTAATTATTTCCTTTACACGGATCAGTCGTCCTGGTCCCTTTGCAGAAAAACAGCCCCAAAGCATGATGTTTCCACCCCCATGCTTCACTGTAGGTATGGTGTTTTTTCGATGCAACTCAGCATTCTTTGTCCTCCAAACACAACGAGTTGAGTTTTTACCAAAAAGTTCTATTTTCGTTTCATCTGACCATATGACATTCTCCCAATCCTCTTCTGGATCATCCAAATGCACTCTAGCAAACTTCAGACGGGCCTGGACATGTACTGGCTTAAGCAGGGGGACACGTCTGGCACTGCAGGATTTGAGTCCCTGGCGGCGTAGTGTGTTACTGATGGTAGGCTTTGTTACTTTGGTCTCAGCTCTCTGCAGGTCATTCACTAGGTCCCCCCGTGTGGTTCTGGGATTTTTGCTCACCATTCTTGTGATCATTTTGACCCCACGGGGTGAGATCTTGCGTGGAGCCCCAGATCGAGGGAGATTATCAGTGGTCTTGTATGTCTTCCATTTCCTAATAATTGCTCCCACAGTTGATTTCTTCAAACCAAGCTGCTTACCTATTGCAGATTCAGTCTTCCCCGCCTGGTGCAGGTCTACAATTTTGTTTCTGGTGTCCTTTGACAGCTCTTTGGTCTTGGCCATAGTGGAGTTTGGAGTGTGACTGTTTGAGGTTGTGGACAGGTGTCTTTTATACTGATAACAAGTTCAAACAGGTGCCATTAATACAAGTAACGAGTGGAGGACAGAGGAGCCTCTTAAAGAAGAAGTTACAGGTCTGTGAGAGCCAGAAATCTTGCTTGTTTGTAGGTGACCAAATACTTATTTTCCACCATAATTTGCAAACAAATTCATAAAAAATCCTACAATGTGATTTTCTGGATTTCTTTTCTCAGTTTGTCTGTCATAGTTGACGTGTACCTATGATGAAAATTACAGGCCTCTCTCATCTTTTTAAGTGGGAGAACTTGCACAATTGGTGGCTGACTAAATACTTTTTTCCCCCCACTCTATATGTGCTTTCTTGAGCAGGGGGACCTTGCGGGCGCTGCAGGATTTCAGTCCTTCACGGCATAGTGTGCTACCAATTGTTTTCTTGGTGACTATGGTCCCAGCTGCCTTGAGATCATTGACAAGATCCTCCCGTGTAGTTCTGGGCTGATTCCTCACCGTTCTCATGATCATTGCAACTCCACGAGGTGAGATCTTGCATGGAGCCCCAGGCCGAGGGAGATTGACAGTTATTTTGTGTTTCTTCCATTTGCGAATAATCGCACCAACTGTTGTCACCTTCTCACCAAGCTGCTTGGCGATGGTCTTGTAGCCCATTCCAGCCTTGTGTAGGTCTACAATCTTGTCCCTGACATCCTTGGAGAGGTCTTTGGTCTTGGCCATGGTGGAGAGTTTGGAATCTGATCCTAATCTCAGCTCGTTACCTGTATAAAAGACACATGGGAGCCAGAAATCTTTCTGATTGAGAGGGGGTCAAATACTTAGTTTCCTCATTAAAATGCAAATCAATTTATAACATTTTTGACATGCGTTTTTCTGGATTTTTATTTATTTATTCTGTTTCTCACTGTTCAAATAAACCTACCATTAAAATTATAGACTGATAACTTCTTTGTCAGTGGGCAAACGTACAAAATCAGAAGGGGATCAAATACTTTTTTCCCTCACTGTTCACAATCCATGCCTCAATTGATTGAAGTGGATTTAACAAGTGACATCAATAAGGGATCATAGCTTTGACCTGGATTCACCTGGTGAGTCTGTGATGGAAAGAGTAGGTGTTCGCAATGTTTTGTGCACTCAGTGTATCTCCAAAGGGACACACATGCATGCACACACACATACACACACACAAACACACTTTGCTTATGTAAATGTCAGTGGATGCTTGTGTACGTTTGTGTGTGTCTGAAGGGCTTTGGATGTGTGTGTCTTGTCTTTTTGGATGATTGTTGGTGAGTGGGTGGGTGGGCATGGCATGTGTGTGTGGAACACGCTGCTCCAAATGAATCACTCTGACCCGTTCCAGTGATATTCTTAGTTGTTTTGTCTGGGGCTCTGGAGAGGAACTGAATGGACGTCTGTCTGGCAGCTGGCTCCTCAGTCTGGATCTCTCTATTGTTGCGTTCCAAATGCCACCCTATTCCCTACATAGTGCATTACTAAAAGTAGTGCACTATATAGGGAATAGGGTGGCATTTGGGATGCAGACTGGATCTCTCTGTCAGTCACAACTCATGTTGCTGGAGTCCATCCAGGAGATAGTCGTCTTTATTACCAAAGGCTCCAAGGGGAAGGGAGATGTTATTTTTTTCACCCCATTCATTCATAGAATACTAGGGCCAGGCCATAGACCTGATACCTCCTCCAAAACACAACCTGATGGTTTAATTTAAAACATATACAACTCACAGTCACTATATTATATGGTAGTAGTTCTCAAACCTCTCCTATAGGGGACCCTAGCCACTTCATGTATTTTATTTATTGCAGAGCTAGCACACCTGATACAACTTGTCAACTAATCATCAACCCTTGACTAGGTGAATCAGGTGTGCTAGTTTAGGCTACAACAAATTGTGACTAGTCTGGGGGTCCCAGAGGAGAGGTTTGAGAACCACTCGTCTATAGTATCCAAGTACAACAGAGGAACTATGCATGACCTTCCTGTACATTTATGTAGCCTGGCTAATATCAAACTCAAAGTAGACAGCTTGCATTGTACCATGCGGTCAGTATTACCTCCCGAGTGGTGCAGTGGTCTAAGGCACTGCATCGCAGTGCTAGCTGTGCCACTAGAGATCCTGGTTTGAATCCAGGCTCTGTCGTAGCAGGCCGCGACCGGGCGACCCATGGGGCGACGCACAATTGGCCCAGCGTCGTCCAGGGGAGGGGAGGGAATGGCCGGCAGGGATGTAGCTCAGTTGGTAGAGCATGTCGTTTGCAACGCCAGGGTTGTGGGTTTGATTCCCACGGGGGGCCAGTATGAAAAAAATAATAATGTATGTACTCACTAACTGTAAGTTGCTCTGGATAAGAGCGTCTGCTAAATGACTAAAATGTAAAATGTAAATGTATTAGCCAGGCTACCATAGACCTGCTATCTGTTCTAAAACACAACCTGATGGTCTTACTGTATTTAAAATGGATACAACTCACAGGCACTATAGTCCACAGTATCCAAGTGCAACAGAGGAACTATGCATGAACTTCCTGTACAATGTTTGTGAGTTGCTGTTCTTACTCACAGATTTTTTTTTTTTCAATATCCCGCCAGAACCCATCTGAAAATTGGACTATTTTATTTAATCGTGTTTCCGATACTTCTCATATAAAAGCCAGAATTTAATTTCAGTCCAATTAAGAGATGGAGTCTACGGCTCAATATTGATCTAAATAACTCTACGCTCTCATTGGTTCTCATCACTTCATGGTCCAATCAAAATCATCTCTACCATAACAACATAATGTACTTACTCTTATGGAGGATGAAGACTGATTTAAGGGTAGCTCATCTTTAGTGCACAGTGCACATGAGTGGAACTTTATGAAAAACGTGCACGGGATAGAAATCATGTCTTTAAGTGCCTGAATGTGGTACAAGACATAACATAGAGCTCTGTCTGCACTACGAAGTCTGCGTCTCAAATGGCACCCAATTCCCTATATACAGTGCCTTCTGAAAGTATTCACACCCCTTGACTTTTTCCACATTTTGTTGTGTTACAGCCTGAATTTACAATGGATTAAATTATGTTTTTTTTTGTCACTGGCCTACACACAATACCCCATAATCTCAAAGTGGAATTATGTTTTTCTTTTTTTTTCTTCTTTTTTATGAATTAAAAGTGAAAAGCTGAAATGTCTTGAGTCAATAAGTATTCAACACCTTTGTTGTGGCAAGCCTAAATACTTTCAGGAGTAAAAATGTGCTTAATAAGTCATATAATAAGTTGCATGAACTCACTCTGTGTGCAATAATAGTGTTTATCATCTACCTCATCTCTGTACCCCACACATACAATTATCTGTAAGGTCCCTCAGTCGAGCAAACCCAGATTCAACAACAAAGACCAGGGAGGTTGCCTCGCAAAGAAGGGCACCTATTGGTAGAATGGTAAAAAAAAAAAAAAGCAGACAATGAATATCCCTTTAAGCATGGTGAAGTTATTAATGACACTTTGGATGGTGTATCAATGCACCCAGTCACTACAAAGTCACAGGCGTCCTTTCTAACTCAGTTGCCGGAGAGGAAGGAAACCTCTCAGGGATTTCTCCATGAGGCCAATGGTGACTTTAAAACATGACTGTGATAGGAGAAAACTGAGGATGGATCAACAACAATGTAGTTACTCCACAATACTAACCTAATTGACAGAGTGAAAAGAAGGAAGCCTGTACAGAATAAAAAATATTCCAAAACATGCATCCTGTTTGCAACAAGGCACTAAAGTAATACTGCAAAAAATTTTGCAAAGCAATTAACTTTTGTCCTGAATACAAAGGGTTATGTTTGGGGCAAATCCAGTACAACACATTACTGAGTACCACTCTCCATAATTTCAAGCATAGTGGTGGCTGCATCATGTAACACAACAACATTTGGAAAATGTCAAGGGGTGTGAATACTTTCTGAAGGCACTGTAGTGCACTGCTTTTGACCAGGGCCTATAGTAGTGCAGTAAATAGGGGATAGGGTGCCATTTGGGACACTGTCTGAAAGGCCTCTAATACACTGTCCCTAGTCCACATGACAAGCTGTTGTTACTGCTACCAGTAATAGCATTGTCTTGTCATGTGATATGTGTATTCCTTCCTTTCTATGTTCTTTATCTGTTTTCATTTCCAGACCCAGATAGCAGTGTGCCTCTGTCCACAGACCCTCTGTGCCCCCCCTCCTCCTTCGCCTGTGCCAGTGGGGAGTGTATTGATGAGGGCAAGGTGTGTGACTTCACCCCACATTGTCCTGGCGGGGAGGATGAAGGCAGCTGCCGTAAGAACCCTGTTGCCAAAAATGCCAAGTAACAAACACACAAAACTCCAAATCCCATCAACAACCCTGGTCGTATCCCAGGTGCCATGCTCCAGCTTCTGGCTTTTTGTAGTTTCAATGGTCATCATTTTTTCTGCCACAGTTGTAGGCTATATAAGTAACGATCATGTTTGATCCTTCAGGGTTTTGAAGTTTGATGTAAGAGTACTTCATTGTCTAATGTAGTCTAAGCTATGAATTAGTCAAATGTAGTCTGGAAGCCAGAGAGGGGATCCATTCCATTCCTATTGAATTTCACCGTAGGAAAGCATTTCAATCCATGCATTGACTGGAATGTAGATGGAATTGACTCTCCCTCTGCTAGAGGCCATTTAATCCATTGTCTTGTTGATTTGGTTTGATATATTTTGGGGTAAAACGTTACTACAGTTTAAAAAGTACACTGAAATCCCAGAGGATAACACAAGTAAGCTTTAAATATACTTACTTACTTATGTTCTCTCTTCACCCAGGCTCCTTCTGTGACTTTGAGAGCAACTCCTGCGGCTGGCATGAGTATGGCTTTGTCCAGGGCGATGGTTTCGACTGGGTCAGGGGCTCAGCGATGACCGTACCACTGGACCACCAGGGCCAGATCCCTCCTCTGGACCACTCCACCAACAGCAGCCAGGGTAGGAGGGAGGAGTCACTATCAACACAACACCACACAACACTCCATACAGCACAGTAACACTTAGCTCTGGTCCAGGGTGTTACGTGCGGCTTCCTAACAGCATCAGTGTCAGCAAACTGCACGTAACACCTTGAACCAGAGCTAGGTAACACTGTGGTCTGAAAATAGCAAGTTATATCCCCCACCCCCCACAGAGTGCGCTAATGGAATAAGCACAGAGGTGTGATTGCCTGATAAGAGGCTGTGTGGTGTCTGCTCAACGCTGTCAGTTTGGAAATAAGAGGCAGAAGAAAATAATATTATTCACAGATTAAATCAATCACTTCTTCAGAAAACACCCCTGCTGATATTTTTGTAAGTACAGAGCCAGAGAGAGCAGCGGCGGCTGGAGCGAGAAACGCTTTCTCAGCTGTCTGAATAATAGAGGGGAAATCGACATCTCTCCCGCCTGGTATTAAAAACCACACACCTCTGCACAATATTTCACCCACTCCCAAACTTTATATGCTCTTCCTCCTCTGCATTTTCAATGTTTTTTGGGTTGTAATCAGGATAATCAACTTCTTGCGGAGGTCAGGTCCATTTTGTACGTTTATGCCTTCTTCCTCATGTTTTTTTAATATGAGATGTCTCCTTCCTCCCTCCCTCTCTCCCCCCTCTGTCCTTCCCTCAGTCCATTTCTCTCAGCTCTGGAATTTTCAGGTTTTTATGCTGTTGTAAAGTTCTCCTCTGCCTGTGATTTGAAAAGCTTTCCCCTCTCATTGCAGGCCACTTTATGTTTGTCTTGAAGAACAGTAGCAGTATATCCCAGATGGCTTTTCTCCGGGGCCCCCAGTACCGCCAGTCAGCCTCTGGGTGCACCATGACCTTCTGGTGAGGACGATGACCCTGTTGTCTTACAAACGTCATTAGAAGATTCCGTTCCTCATGGTTCAGTAATGGGCCCAATGTTATTTCCACACTGGTGTGCCTCAGGGTATAGCTTTTGATTATCTCAGTACAGTAGCTCACTTTCTCTATGGGGCGCCATGACATTGTGGTACAGATACACTGGTAAATATTTTGTATTGCTCAACAGAATAGGCATTAATTGAGATTGAGCTGACATTTTTCCTGAACTAATTTGTCTGTAGATATATCACATGCCTTTCTAAAGCTCTGCTGTTGTAGACTGCCAATTTGAGTTATAGATGTTCAATTACAGTATTTCACTATCTCTGCCTCTCTCTCGCTATCTCTCTCCCTCTCTTTTTGCTCTACGAGCATCTCCCATTTCATAGCTTCACTCAGTAGTGAGACCTGCATCTGAATCGGTCACTTTATGCCACATTTTATGGCTGTTTAACATCCCTGTCAGAGGACAGATTGTATATTTCCTGTGGATGATTGGAATGCTACATTTGTCAGAAAATTGCAGTTCAAGGGTTTATACATTTCATTTTCTCCAGAGCAAGTAGAAATGTTCACGTTTAATGTCCAGCATGTTGCATTATCACTCCTGGAGAAATCATTACCTCATCTCAAGAAACAAAGTACACTTCAACAGAAAACTGTGATGGGTTGCAAACCAGCCTGGTCAAATGGCTGTTATGTATCAGTAGTATGTAAAGAATGCGTCCCAAATGGCAACCTATTCCCTACATAGTGCACTACTTTTGACCAGAGCCAAGTAGTGCACTATAGAGGGAATAGCTTGCCATTTGGGACGCAGCCAATTGTCCCTCTCTACGCCCACACACCCAGGCATTATAACTCAGGCATCTCGGTGGGGGCTGCAGAAATGTGCCTGCGTATCGCTGGCATGGACAACATCACCGTGCTGTGGCAAACCCTCTATAACCAAGGGAACCGCTGGAACCGGGTCACGGTGCAGCTGGGCCGAATCACCCAGCCCTTCCAGTTCTCATTGGCTAAGCTCAGCCTGGGCGTGTTTGATGGAGTCTCCGCCCTGGACGACATCAGCTTCCAGAACTGCTCGTTGCCCCCAGCGGTGGAGGCGGGGCAGTGCCCCAGCCACACCCACTTCCACTGCTCGCGGAGCCGGGCGTGTGTGGAGCACCTGCAGCTTTGTGACCTGGTGGACGACTGTGGAGATGGCTCGGACGAGGAGGACTGCTGTGAGTTCACACAGACAGACGCATAGGCAACCATACAGTCAAAATAGAATGTACAGTATATGTATGAGATACTAGAATAAACAACAAAATAGGAACATTTTAGCTGAGCACTTGGCTCTTATAGCTCCATATTTTGTGGGACGATAACAGGAAAACTCTTTCTCTCTGTCAATATTGTCTTCCTCTCCATCTCCTCCTCTCTCAGCCGCGGAGTTGATTTGCGACTTTGAACAGGGGCTGTGTAGCTGGACCCAGGAGCAGAGCCACGAGGGGGGTGACATCTTTGACTGGACGCTTATTCAGGGCCCAACGCCCACCCTCCAAACTGGCCCCTGGAAGGACCATACCCTTGGCCACGTTAACGGTCACTACCTGTACATCGAGACCTCCGCCCCCCAGGAGTTTAAGGACACGGCAATGCTGGTCAGCCCAGTGTTACAGCCTACCCTCCGCCATGGTAATGGAATGCCCGGCATCACCACCGGCCCACGCCACCCCTGTGTGTTCCGCTTCCACTACCACATGTTTGGGGCTCATGTGTTCCGCCTGGCCGTGTACATGAGGACCACCAAGCTCGGCCGCGGTCACATGCTGTGGGTGCGCTACGGCGACCAGGGCAACCTGTGGCACAGGAAAACACTCTACCTCAACAGTGCCAAGCCCTTCCAGGTAACTAGGGTTGCAAAATTCGGGTAACTCTCCCAAAATTCCCAGGTTTTCTACAAATCCCAGATTGGAAGTTTCCTGGAATCAGAAGGGAATAACGACGAAATCCAGGAATCCTCCAACTGAGATTTCTGGAAAACCAGGGAATTTTGGGAAAGCTTTGTAACCCTACCGGTAACTCATTCAAAACTCTTCAAATTAATGCCAGAGAGAATCATGATGACTTTTATATGTGATGGTTTATTGATGTTGTCGTCTGGTGAATAAGCCTTTGTGAGGGATGGTTGGTTCCATATTTTTTTTCTTCATATCTGATTGGAATCTGTTCTTTTTCCTGCAGTCTGAATAGCCAAAAAGCACATTGAATCAAATATTTCAATCCACATTTCAAACCACTTTTGGTTTGAAATCTGATCCAAATCTGATTCTTGGCCATGCGACTTGTTATTTATTTGCCCTCAAGTGGTTTTTAGACTTATCTGGCATATCTTGTTGCTTGCTAGCTACTCTGTTGACAGTTTTGACAAGAACAAGTGATAGCTAACTAGCTTGTTAATTGTTAACAAACAAATTAGTGAATGTGCTAGAAAGCTAGACAGCTACCTAGCTAGCTAGTTGACTGCTGTGGTTAGCCAAAAAGGACTTGTTTTGAGAGTTGCATAATTTATCCTTTGAGGCTTTAAAAGTGTTCTTACAGTATGATTTTTTTTAAAAAGTTGTATTACTTTTTCTTGTTTTTCAATCAACAAACAAAACACATTCCACATTCACAGATGTGGCAGACAAAAATAATATAATAAAATAACATATCCTGATCCCTACAGTATGCCAAAGATTAAAGTTGGCATCACTCAGGGCTTTGGGCAAGTCTGGGTTGCATACTATTGGCGAGTGAGAGCATATCTGGGAGGAAATGCCTAGGTATTTTCTTACAGTCCTTCCATGCTAGTAGGGTGTTGTAAATCACAAAGGTTTTGGGTACGTTGCACACTTCACTAAAGTTATTGTGGTGGGTGATTTCGGACGGAGTCAGGTGCAGGAGGGTAAATCACAGAATATATAGTTTAATCAGGAACACAGCGGTACGCATCAATGCGTAATACACTCTAGTGCGGTAAATACGGCGCACTGGAGAAAATAAGGCACACGGGTGAATATCCCGGCAATACAAATACAAAGTAACTCCACCGAGCTATAATACCTCCACAATAAACTATCACACACAAAGATAAGGGGGCAGAGGCGCAGTGGTCTAAGGCACTGCATCCCGATGGCGCAGTGGTCTAAGGCACTGCATCGCAGTGCTAGCTGTGCCACTAGAGATCCTGGTTTGACTCCAGGCTCTGTCGTAGCCGGCCTCGACCGGGAGACCCATGGGGCGGCGCACAATTGGCCCAGCGTCGTCCAGGGTAGGGGAGGGAATGGCCGGCAGGTAGCTCAGTTGGTAGAGCATGGCGTTTGCAACACCAGGGTTGTGGGTTTGATTCCCACAGGGGGCCAGTATGAAACAAATAAAAATGAATGTATGCACTCACTAACTGTAAGTCGCTCTGGATAAGAACGTCTGCTAAATGACTAAAATGTAAATGTAAAATGCAGAGGGAACAATTATACAGGTACTGATGAGGGGTGTGTAATAAACAAGACAAAACAAATGGAATGATGAGATGAGGAGCGGCAGTGGCTAGAAGGCCGGTGATGACGAACGCCGAAGCCTGCCCGAACAAGGAGGGGAGGCAGCTTCGGAGGAAGTCGTGACAGTTATTATTGAATATAACTGAGTTTAGGGGCAATGGACCACAGGATTGGGCCTCTATTTGAATCTACATTGAGTCTTGTCTGTTTGTGATCCATGTTAACATGTTGCGGATTTGGGCAGACGAGTAGTACAATTGAAGGCAGGGAAGTGCAAGACCACCCTTAGATTCAGGTTTCGATAGAGTGGAGAACTTGATCCTAAGTTTTTTATTGCGCCATATACATTTGGGGATTCTTTGGTTGGTTGTTATGACAAAGAAACTGGGAGATAGCGTGGGAGCATCTGAAATAAATAGTTCAATCTAGGGAGGATGTTCATACGGATAGCACTGATTCTTCCGACTAAGCTAATTGAGAGAGAGATCCAGGTTTGGAGATCATTCTTGATTCGATCCAGGAGTGGGAGATAATTTTCCTTGAAAAGGCAATTCAGATCTGGTGTTACAAAGATTCCAAGGTATTGAAACCCCTGTGTCTTCCATTGGAATGGGAATCCAAAGCGACTTACAGTCATGCGTGCATACATTTTTTTGTGTATGGGTGGTCCCGGGGATCGAACCCACTACCTTGGCGTTACAAGCGCCGTGCTCTACCAGCTGAGCTACAGGGAGGGTGCTCTTCATAGAGCTGGTGAGTGTAAGATTGAGAGGGCAAACAATGGATTTGTTCAAATGTATATATCCTGAAAACTTGCCGTACTGAGCAATTGTGTCTAAAATGGGAGGGAGGGATTTCTCAGGGTTGGATATGTGGAGCAAGACATCATCCGTGTATAGCGAAAACCCCATAATACTGGATTGCTCCTGATCAACTCCGCCAAAGGCTCCGCCCCCAACAAGTAGAGCAGGGGGGACAGCGAGCATCCTTGTCTTGTTCCACATCTCAAAGGGAATCTGTCAGAGTTCAGACCATTAGTAGACACCATGGCATTTGGATGAGAATATAGGGACTTTATCCATTTAATAAAGTTTGGGAACATATTGAACTTTTCTAAGACTGAGAACAGAAAGCTCCACTCCATCCTGTCAAATGCTTTCTCAGCATCCAGTGAAGCCAGCAGGACAGGGGTCTTCTGTGCGTTTGCTTGATCTATAATATCAAAAAGACTGCGAATGTTATCAGAAGAGTACCTGTCTCTACTAAATCCAGTTTGGTCCGCTTTTATTTTTATTTTGGGAAGAAGAGTGTTTAGTCTTTTGGCGAGCAATTTGGTAATTATTTTGTAGTCTAAATCCAACAAGCTTATGGGCCGGAAGGACGAGCAGGATAGAGGGTCCTTGTCTTTTTTGAGCAATACTGTAATGCGGGCTGTGTACATAGTCTGGGAGAGCTCAGTTTTGGCAAAAATCATCCAGCATTGGCATGAAAATAGGGCTAAACTGGTGCCAAAAAGCTTTGTAGAACTATGGGAAATCCGTCTAGGATCTGGGGACTTGTTAGGTGGCATGGAGTTAATTGCCTCTAGGACCTCCTCAGGAGTGAAGGGGGAGTTGAGATCTTCTTGGTCGGTCTAGGAATAAAGGGAGTTCTGCATCTGTATGTTTTCTCTCAGAAGTATATAATTTGCAGTAAAAATCTTATCTGGATCATATGTGACCACGTCATCTTCAGTTCGGATGGCCATGATTGTACGCTTTGACTGATATTTTTTAAATTGGTATGCAAGCAATCTGCTAGGCCAATTGCTATACTTATGGTATTTCTGTTTAGTAAAGAAACCTTTTTTTTTTTTTTATCTCTCCAGTATAGTCCAAGTTTAGTTTGGCTTTGGGTGCTTTAAGTTGACTCCAGGAGGCGCTGTCTGGGGATTGTTTATGTACTTTTTCACAGGGTTCCATCTCCCTCTCAAGATCTAACCTGTGTGATTCCATTGCTTTTTTCTTAGAGGAAGCATATGCAATTAGATGACCTCTTAGTGTGGCTTTGGCAGCGTCCCACATTGTGGCCAGAGAAACAGGAGAGTCTTTGTTGTCTTGTGTGTAGTTGTCTATCCATGAAGTAACCAATGTATGGAATGCTTCGTTTGATAACATAGAGGTGTTGAATTTCCAGCTCTTTGACCTCAGGATGTTTTTACAGAGGTCAAAGGGAAGGTGGACAAAGGCATGATCTGAAAGTGCTATGGGTCCGATTGTACAAGTGGCAGATGTTATGAAGATCTTATGGATAAAGAGTAGGTGTTATGGACATTGGAGTAGTATGTATAGTCCATAGATGAGCTATTAGTCTCTGTCCAGATATCTATCAGTCCCATCTCTTTAGTAAGAGAGTTCAACATCTTTGCCGATCTAGGGTTTGTGGTGGGGACTTGAGATGATTTGTTCAGAGTTGAGTTGAGGGTACAATTAAAATCTCTAGCCAGCACTCCAAAGGAAACGCAATGCTCATTGAACAGGGTTATCATTCTCGACATGAAAGCAGGAGTATCTGTGTTAGGGTCATATATATTTAAGATAGTAATTGGTTGTCCATACAGTGACCCAGTTATTAGAATAAATCTCCCCTCTGGATCAGATATGTTTTTGTCAATTATGAATGGAACATGCTTATGGATAAGTATGGCTGTACCTCTACTGTTAGATTTGAAAGATGAGAAATACATCTGTCCCACCCAAGCCCTGCTGAGTTTAGCGTGTTTGGCATTGTCTGCTTTTTCCTTTTTGAGAGCACATAGTATATTTTTCAGTTTTATTGCAGGACCTATCCCATGGCAGTTCCATGTCAGTAGATTTAAGGTACTAGTCAACGTCAACGTACAGTAATTGAACTCTAGTGCAAGTCATCTCTGGGTATAGGTGGATAATAGTTAAAGCTGCAATCACATAAAAGAAAACGAAACAGTGTACATAAAATAACAATCTCTGAACACCCCAGCCGAATTCCCAAACAACTCGACATATCCTGTTGGATCTGTTAACCCCAACCTCAGTCACAATTCTGTGTTACGAAAAACGGGAACAGTTCGCAACGCACAACATCTCACGAGAGAGAGAGAGAAAAAAAAAATGCCTCATCTTCTCCGCCCCGCATGAAGTGAGTGACAATGGAGCCCCCGTCCAGGCCACAGTAAAAAAGAGAGGGAGAAATAAAGTAAATAAAATCAATAGCCCAGCCTACAAATACATCCCACAAAGGATATAGGCCTTTGGAAGTGATGCAGACAATTACAT